TAATTCGTTGTATCGAAGACATCGTTGATTACATGATCGAGATGGATAGTCGCAAATTGAGTTGTTCAAGCATGATTGATTTGTTGGATTGTAACATTGATAATATGGTGGATTATACTGATATCCATACGTACTATCATATTTAACGAAACAGAATTGCTGACTACGACTACATACTGTTCCATTTAAACATTGCTGTGATGATGAATTGTAGCATAGACCAGAGCAATTGTTAATACACTGAATAGTACTGTTGGTACATACTTGAAATGCAGGATCATAACATATACCGTTGCATGATTTCATTTGACTGACTTGATAATTGTAAAAGGAAAAATAATAATAATAATAGGAATAATAATAGGAATAATACCAATTTATCGTAGTACAAACTGTCATATTATTAATACATAATTCGTTGTATCGAAGACATCGTTGATTGCATGATCGATATGGGTATTCGCAAAGTGAGTTGTTCCAACATGATTGATTTGTCGGATTGTAACACTGATTAGATGGTGAACTATACGGATATCCGTACCAAGTCTCATATTTAACGACACACAATTGTTGGCCACGACTACATATTGTTCCATTTAAACATTGTTGTGTACTTTGATTGTAACATTGATTTCCACAAACACCAAAACCTGAACCTGGACATGAGACGGATGGCGACAATGTTGATTGACTTTGAACATTCGTTAGAGTACACAAGGCAAGAATAATCCATACTCTCACACGTTCCTTCGGAGCACTTGATGTAAACATCGGATTGCAATTCAAATCAAATTGGTTGCACTATCTGGTTCTGTAGTTGTAATTGGGGTTGTTTACTTGTATTTCTATTGTAATGTTTAAAATTTTGTTGTAGGTGAATTAGATTTTAGATATACTTCTGAAAAAAAAACTTTAATCTAAAATGGATTTATATTTTAGCACACTTGATGCTTTTACTATCTGGCGAAATAATAAACATCAAGCACTTTGAGTTTAATATTTTACCACTAGAAAGTAATAAACGTTAAGTATTTATCTGTACGAGCTGATATTAAAAGTTCGGCGATAACATTTTTCTTCTTGCATTATTTTAATAAATGATTTGCACTTTTCTGTTCAATTTAACATGTTATGGTAGAAAGTGGATTGAGTGTTTAGTAGCTTTATCAGCACCAACTCTTAGACTCGCCATTGAAGCTTTTCAGCACCTATCTGTTAGAATACTAAGTCCTCATTTTAACATTAATCTATTGTTCTACTGATTTGCTTTCGCCGAAGAATCCAACGTCGTTTTGGCGGTTTTCTTTTCCAAAGAATTCAGTAGTGGCACAAGCCAAAAGAAAAAGATGTCTTCCAACTGTCTACAATAGATTTTAATATGAGTTGCAGTCAATTTACAAAAAGTCGCGAAGAGTTAAAGTCATCACAAGTCTACTTAAAAATATCGAACATATGCCGGTGGAAAAGCGTCATAGACAGCTGGAAGACATCTTATTTTGTTCAGAATTGTCTGCTCTACAAGGCTATACGATTTACAAAGCTTTTAGATCAGAATCTAAAGACCTGGCTCTCCAGAAGTCAGGTTTTTCAAAAATCCTATTATCAAGTTGCTCGACAGAATCTCAACATACATGCATCTCATCTGTTAGAAAAATCTTCGGACTATTCAAATCAGCATTCAAGCTTGTTCTAGATGCTGCTCAGAACGAGAAAAATCCAAAACAGTGAGATTCTTAGAATTATGAAGCATCCTCTACTGCATATATAACATCGAAACACTGCTTCTGCATATCTTTAACGACTGAGCCCACCACTTTAGGTGTTGTTATTAGCTCAATTCGTAGAGAATCTCAAGAGCTATCTGATAGTATAGTTTCGAGAAATACATAAGTTTTCATTATGACTGAAAAACTTCTAAATGATTGTTCTGCAGTTCTTTTCGCTATTGAAACGCGTTTCTTCCATGTTTTAATCTGTGAGTCGATAGACTAGTTTTGTTCAAAATCATTTGTTGTACAAGATGAGCTGTGAAAATCAGTTGGCAAGTGCAAAATAATTTTTAATAAATCTTAAAAGTTCACTTGTTTAATGCTCGGCAATATTTTGGAACTTTAACTTTTAGAAGTCGTTATAAATGGTCCTTAAACGTCATTAGATGCAGTTTTATCTGCTCTTTTAAATGAGAGGTTGCTCATAGAAACACGTGTCATTGTTAACATATGTATAATAGTTCAATGCACATTGATCCATGTCGATGATTTGAGCTTCCGGGCTAGGGATCTGCAAAACGCTCGCACTGTCGATCTCGCCAGGACCGGGACTAAAAAATTTAACCGGGATCAAAACCGGAACCGAGACTAAAACTTTTCAGACTAGTCTCCGTCAGCTTATTTTTATCAAGCATGATACTAGATATTTTCATATTTTTTACTCTGTTCTGATTAAAAAATCTGTTAGTCGACTATTTTTGTTTCCAAGTCTGATAAAAGCCTTTTGCAGATCACGATTCTGTCGCTAAGAATCAAATATTTTGGAAAACTTGAGTGGATTTTCGAGTATCCAAACATCATATCATGGGATGTAGGTTCCGCCATCCGGTTCCAGTGACTTTCCATTCGGAACCAGCTGGAAAGTCACCGGTTCATTCCGCAAGATCCCGGAAAACGGTTGGATTTGGAAGCCGCAATCCGGTGACCGTTTCCGGCGACCAGCAATGCGGCAGTTGTGACCGATGCTTTCCGGAAACGGAGAAAACCGGTTACCAGATTTGGATACCAACTTCCTGCTTCCATATTCTGAATAATTTTCGGAGTCTTCCGGCTGGAGCCGGCTCGTATTCTAATAGTTGGGGGACTTTTGGATCACCCTGTACATACGTCCGAACTAGGGATGCAACGGTGACGATCATTCACCGATTCACCGTAGGTGCGGTAACCGTAGGTACGGTTATCGGTTCAACTATTATAACAGGCCTTACCTACGGTTATCGGTCCAACCATTATAACACACCAGAGATGCAACCGGTATACCTTTTTCCAGACTGGTACCGGTACCTGCCTGGAAATTTTGAGATCGAACCGGAACGGCCGGTATACCGGTTTGACCGATCTACCGATCCAAACCGGTCTATACCGGTCTATACCGGGTCTACCGGTCTATACCGGTCTATACCGATCTACCGGTCTACACCGGTCTATACCGGTCAATACCCCTCTACCGGTCTATACCGTATACACCGGTCTACAGATCTATACCGGTCTACTTAGGTCTCACCAAAAGTTCTGGCAACATTAAATAAAAATATAAAGATAAGGAGGTATCTTTAATTTTATTTTATCAAATGTTGAGGATAGTTGCCATGATTATTTATACCAAGTTCGACCCTTTCTAACAATTTGTTAAAAGTTTTTTTGAAGTTTTTTTTCGAAAAAATTTTTAGGTACCTTGGATACCGCATGAGCTACTTATATTTTATTTGTTGTGAAAAGTTAGCGAAATTTTGTTCGATCATATCAGTTGCATTCTAGTACTACTAGTGACGAGATATGGATTTATTTTAGATAGGTTAGTCATAAGTTATCCGATGCTAGCTGGCTTATTGAAGATGAATCGTCAAAGACTATTGTTCATGAATACAGATTTTAACCAATGCTTTGTTTGGTATATTCTTTAAATCAAATACTCCTGAGTGTAGATAAAGGCAAGACTGTAAGTCACAAGTATTATATTGAAAATTCTCCGAAGTCTTTTATTGATGAAATATGGAAACAAACAGAGACATCAGGTTCAAAATGTACAAAATTGCTTGACGATCATCGTTGACTTCATACTCATCCAATGTTATTAATTCTATGATAGAAGAAGGCATCAATATAATAGCATATCCACCATATTTGCCAGGCCTGATACTATGTAACTTTTCGCTAACTAATTCTATCGAATGTAGTTTAACTGATTAAATAAATGAAACATGATTAGCTCATGTGGTATCTAAGCTACCTAAAATTTTTTCGAAGAAAAACTTCCAAAAAACTTTTAACAAATTGTTGGAAAGGATCGAACTTGGTATAAATAATCATGGCAACTATCCTCAACATTTGATAAAATAAAATTAAAGATACCTCCTTATCTTTATATTTTAATTTAATGTTGCCAGAACTTTTGGTCAGACCTAAGTATACCGGTCTATACCGCTCTACCGAACTATACCGGTATACACCAGTCTACAAGTCTATACCGGTCTATCGCTCTATACCGGTCTGCCGGTGTATACCGATCTACCGCTCTATATCAGTCTAGCGATCTATACCGGTCTACCTGTATATACCGATCTATACCGATCTATACCCGTCTATACCGGTCTATCGGTCTATACGGGTCTATACCGGTCCATAACGGTCTACCGGTCTATACCTATCTACCGGTCTATACCGGCCTAC